CAGGGTTCACCGGAAATCCTTATCTCCTGAATGGATGCCAAGGTACTACTTACACAGAACTCTTATACACGTTTCTTACACAAAATTTAAAACCATTCATCCACATACTGAATAGAGTTTCAACCATGGATTAATTGGATTGTTTTAACTTTTAATAATAATGAATTTAATACTAATCCACCAGATATTGACGAGTGCAAAGAACCAAATAAGTATCCTTGTCAAGGCACTTGCCATAATACTATTGGGAATTATACATGTGACTGCCCGCTCGGTATGCGTGGTGACGGCCGGAAGGACCGTAAAGCTGGCGGCTGCCGGGGACTTCCTCTGACCACCATCGCAGCAGGTAACTGATCTGATCAGAATGTCATGACCCGCTTACATCTCCATATAAATAAATAAATATAAAGATTACGGCGTGACTCTAAAAAAAATTAGTGTAGGGGAATTTATATTTAAAAAATAAAATTTCAATTAAAAATTTAAAAGTCTAATTAATTTTTAAATATAAATATAAATATTTAATAAATATAAAAGTTGACACACATGATTTATATAAGTAAAATTTTTAATCTAACAATTAATTTTTGAAAATATATTAATTTGAAGATAAATTTTAAGATATGTCTTTTAAAATAATTTAAAAAGACAAGTTGCCTTTAGTACTATTATATATATAGGAGGGACACATTTACACATAAATTTTATACACTACATTTATATAAAATTTCAATAATTTATTTATTTACTTTTAATGGTTGAAATTTATTACAACTTTTAAAGTGAAAAAAATAATTATCTTTAATAAATGTAATAAATCTCAACCACTGAAAATGAAAAAATAAATTGTTGAAATTTTATATAAGTATAGTATGTAAAATTTGTATGTAAATGGATTTCTACTCCTATATATATGTATGAAATTAATTTATATAAGTCCTAAATCTTAAAAAAAATTAGAATTCCAACCTTATACGAGGTTGTTTTATTTAATTAAAATCTATTTTAAAATTTAGAAATTCACTTTTGTTAAAGGTTAATTCCTATATTTAAAAATCCAAAACGAAATTCAAAATTCATATATCTATTTTATTAAATAT